TCTATCATGAGCTATATATAGATTATTCATTTAATAAATTGCATTATCGAGTTATCCAATTTACAACGTTCGATACAATCCCAAAGTATCTTTTACTATTTGAATAAGTAATATGTATGACAATAATACGGACTTATACATGGTGTAATAAAACAAAAGGAACAATGTTTGTAAGCTTTCTTTCTGCCATTCAGCATATGGAATAATAGATAATTTATCATTGTTATTATGTATTAATTTTAATGCTGTCAAGTTGTAAACAAGTTCGGGAAATATAATTGTGTTTTTAAATCTTAAGGCAAGCTTTAAAACTATTTTACTATTTGATAGCTTATATCACTTCTTATTTTTCTTCATTCTATCATTTCATCGATCATATGATAATAACGTAATCAAGTTTCATCGATGCCATAATTTTCAATCTTGATAAAAAGCAATATCTAAATCTAACAATTTGGATTTCATTCTATCAAAAGTGATTGCGGATTGAAAAAGTAGGAGATTGATCCCAGGGCATTTCAGGTATGTTAACCTTCAAGCATTTAAAAAATTATCACTTTCTGCCGCTAATATTTAAGATACTTGCTTGCTAAAAATGGATATGATTTCTATTTAATTTACATAACACAAATAAATTTTGATTCTATTGATCGATAGTACGACCATCTGCCCTGAGTGCTATTCCCCAATTTAATCTTATAGTAAATAGTGTCATATTTCATGTATTTTAAAAATAAAATTGCATGTCTGGCCATTTGCCTACTAGATTCTTCCTTAACTTTAAGCTCAAGAGCTACTGCAAAAATAGTATTGTGAATATGGAACAGTTATTGTATATTCGATTCACAGGCTAATCAACTGATCATCGAATTTTTTGACACGCATAACTAATTATTCATGCTAGGTTAACATTTTCCCAGCCTAAAAAACCTAGCTAATAATGATGATTTTGGATGAATAAATCACCGGTATATTGCTTTAGTAACACTTGCATAAATTGAGAGTGATCCATTTTGTATTATTTTATTTGGATGGTTGTTCTTGTTTTCGTTCAAAAATTGTCCCTCTAAAAAGCAGATGAAATAGAAGTTATCAAGCTCTGCATGAACAATATCAACAGACTACCATTAAAATTCTCTTTCTCTACAAATAAATACAGACAAGCGTGCACTCCTAACTGAAGGGTAAATTAATTCCTATTGATTATAGGACTACCTTAAAATAGTAGACAAAAAATTATTTCTGCTATCTACGTAGCGATGATGTCCAGTATTCCTGAAGTTGCTGAACTAAGATATTGAGTATAATCTCCATCTGTGTTGAGCGTATTATCAAATTTATTTATAAGTAATCTGTTCATATTAGTCATCGTCGTTTGTATTATTTTCTATTAATCCCTTGCATTGAAGAATTCTATTAGGTAAAAAAAATTATTAATTTTGAACTTTCAGGTTAATGTATGCTACCCCTCATCATTTGCTATCACAAACGATGACATAATTTTTATCTTTTGTCCGCTGTATTTGTGAGCGATTAATCAAACCTTTCGATATGTTTGTGCCCTATGAAAGCATAACTGTATTATACTAATAAGCGTTAAAGCGATCAATTCTCATCTATATATCTAATAATCTATTTTTAATCTAACGTATGCATATTCTCATTACTACGTTCTAAATGAGACCAGTGATTACTGATTTATGTCGCATACCGTTTAATTGCTTAGCTGATTGATAATTTATTATCATTTATTTAGTAAAAAAATGAATATTGTATTAAACGCAAGCTTTGCTTATTGTTAGCCCAAGAGTTTTAACAAGCCATGATGTTGACATTCACTGTTTGGCCACACCATACAAATATAGTAGAAAGATTGAAATAATCTTAATTTGCTTACTATTGCTAATCTTTCACGGCGTCCTAATATTACTCTTATTACTCAAATTATTATTAAGCTAGTTTAGAAATAGGATTATAAAGTTTCTCTTATGCAGTATCCGAATATTTTGATCCGTATCATCCTTATTAAAATAGGAAATTAAAATACCGTTTGCTTAGTTAAGTAAGAATTTAGCAATACGGACAGAGTTACCAAATAAATATCGATTACACGTCTATGCAATGTACACATTATCCTTATTCAAACCATAGTATTCTACTGCTTGCTAACTTAGGGAATCTATACCCTATCAGTCTACTATTAAACTAAATATGGCTTTTGCAGATCTTTGTCCATTGCTTTTACTATTTCATTTAAGGATGCTTGTATAACTTTAGAGCTTGTTAACTCCAATAGAATTTTAGTAACACTTGTAAAACATAAATACATACGAAAAATTATCTACGATCATATTACCTTATAGATCGGAAGTTACTAATCAAGCATCCTACTTTTTCGAACTTAAAGAAAGAAAACTACGGAAGTGATCTGTTATTAGAGGGAGTTTCCAATATTTTCCGTTCTAATAATACGAAAAAGAGCAATATCTACAAACTGCATCATGTTCGTTAAACAATGATTATTCTTGTTCATCATTATGCTGTTGATTGATTTTACATTTTATTAACATTCACGGAAAAACAAGTAATAGGGGGCGCTATAATTGATAGCAACAATGATCCTTCTAGTTTAGAATCGCTTCTATCGATTTTAAACTTTTCCGATACAAGTATTATATTAAATAGATCAGATCTGTACAGTACGTTACCAAGAAATAAATCCGGATTACAACTGTTTCTGATTGATTAAACTCCTTCTAACATTAAAGACCGAAAATACTTAAGCCTTATCTCTACCGTTATCCTTAAAAATGATATTGCATGGAGAATATAGAATTGCTTTATTTTAATTCAATAGCTATTTGATATTTTCAATTTCATCCGACCCTAAATCTAACATTAAGCCATGCTTGTATTTAGATTTTGTTAGTGATTTTTTTCTACGAGATTATATAATGAATCTATTTTTTATTAACCTTACTACACGGGTACTGCATATCTAGAGTGGATAATAGCAATAACATGAATTGGACATCACGTTATTGCCATAGAAGATGGTTAGGGGAGAATCCATCATGATCAGATCCTATTTTTATAGTAAAGTTAAAATACTATGTATGAAAAAAATCTTGACTAGATTTGAATTGATTGTAAAGGCATTTTAAATTTTTTTATAGCTTAATGAAATTACGGTATATTCTGTCATTTTCAATTATTTATGGAGATGATGCTGATTTATTGGCTAGTGGGGTGGGTTATGATGGAAATTAACAGATTTATTCTAGCGTGTCCATCTTTACCTGATTAATCAACTTTTACTAATCGATGGAAAATGATACATTAATATTGAAACAAATAGCATTCGTCAATGGCATTAATTTAGGTCAATATTGTCAACATTTTATAAGTCAATATATTACAAGAATCATTATAATAGATAGTCATTCTTTTTGTTGTAATTTATTTTACTAATGATTGCCGAGATAGAGTAAAGGAAATTACTTAGGAGCTCATAGACCATTAACCAATATTAACCAGGCACCGTAATCAATATAGCACGCAATGGATGCAGAATGGATAAATTGAAATGATTCAATTAAATATATCTAGTATCACCCAGTTTAAATCTATATTTGTCGTCATTTATCAACCTCATAAGATGATGATATTGTAAATTGATGTAAAATATTTTCTTAATTTATTTGTTATGCGTGTTCCTTATTGGCTGTCTTTGTGACATTCCAAGAGATTGATGATTGACTGTAAGCCTATAAAAGCCATAATTTACTTTAGTGACCGCCCAATGTCATGTTAGTTTGTATAATTAATTAAGATGGGCCAAAAACATGGCCACATGAGGCTTGGGTTAGTACCACTTGAAGATAGCGTGTATAGATCAAGTTGGAAATTAAATATTCTTTTATTCTTGTCAGCGCCGCCTTCTTAATATAACTGATACGAGAAAGTAACTTTGCTTTCAGACATTTGTTTGTCTTCTGTTCTAGTAGAGAAGATAAGTATCGCAAAGTTTTCTATTGGGGAAGATAGACATTGCCAAGTTTTTTCACTGTCTAGTGCTACATTATTACCTACACTTTAGTTGTAATCGTCACTATCGTGTCGATTAGGTATCTTATTTTCTTTTCTACTATCGCTTTCGTCATCAATTTTAATCCCAAGATGGATAGTAGGCTGCTTTAAGTTTACTTAACAGCTATCCTAGTCTCCATTCAACAGTTTGGGAATAGAGAGAAATAAGTTTGGCAGGATCGTAACCTTTCAAAATTTTTCTTTTCATTTAGCAAAGATCGGATGCTGCCTAGTGGTAGTGGTATTCCATGTAGAGTTGGAATTAATTTAACATATTGACGCTGTCTTTTTTTGAAAATTTGACCAATTTCGTTTAAAAGAGAGGGGCTATAATAATAATATCTGTTCTTATTGCGTGTGAAATGATACAAATCTACTAGTTTCCTTCGGCGTTTATACAATTAAAAATGTAAGCCTTCTATTACTTCAGGTTGATCGTCAACCAACTCTTTGATACTATAATAATTTCTGAATTAGGATCTAATGTTACTAGTTATATTCTTATCCAAAATCGTTGATTTATTCTTATATTGACGTTGTTAAAAGTAGTAGCTTTATGTTTTGTTAAGTTTTATCGTAAGCCAGTCGCATTTTACGCTTATTTCTTCTTTGCAAAACCTATTATACAAGCGATTAATTTATCTAAAACGAATCATTGCTTGGTATAGGGGAAAAATAGGCTTGAAATAAGTAATTTTTAGATTGCAGAGATTAGCAGTATCGATTTTCGGATATCCAATTTTGCTTTCTAATCATTCCATGTCAATTAATTTGTTACTCTTTTTTTTCCCTATTGCTTGACTGTAGATATCAATATTAACATGGCTAGTAATCAAACAAGCAACCCTATCAGCAATATATCTAGCGATTGTTACGATCATGGCAACTTTAATGAAATTAGTAAGATTGTGGCTATCGTCAAAGCTATCGTTTTCATCACGACCTTCATCTTCTCCATAACTGGCAATCTCATTATCGGATATGTAGTTATTCGTACACGTCGATTATGGACATTTACCAACATTATGATGTTAAATTATAGCTTTGTTACTATCCTATTTCTTATATCTGGATTATTCCAGTTTATCTCCGATTTTTTATTTCATGGGACATGGCCATTTGGATCCTTTCTGTGTCAAATTTTATATTCATCATTTATCTTTACCACCATCGTCTCAGCATTAACTATCACATTAATGTGTTATGCACGTTATCGTGCAATCTGTAAATCTTTATATGTACAACCGAATAAAAAACAAGCAATCTATTGCATTGGAGTAATATGGCTGATGGCAATTGGTTATATGATTCCTTATGGAATGTCCTTAAAAACGAAAACCTTTGGCAAATCATCCTATTGCATAGTAATAAATAGCTCGCTGCAAAGTTATCCTAATCGATTAATTTATGATGCTTGCCTCTTTGCTCTTACGTTCGTGGCGCCTGTACTTACTGTTGCCTTTTTCAATATTCAAGTTATTCGTGATTTAGCAATGAGCCCTGGTCGACAATTGCCTGAAAAAGTATTCAGCGCATCTGATGATTTACAGTTTCTTCAACATGATCAAAGTATTGATTCAATTAAAGAGAAATTACGTAAAATGTCAGTCATCATATTTGTAGTTTATCTGTTAGCATGGCTACCCTTCTGGATTTATATTTTTCTAGTGGATACTAACGTAATGTTGGATCTCATAGCTATCTATAGCAAATACGATTGTGATTTTCGCCAAAAAATATTAATAATTCGAACATTTACTAAATATTTAACCTACTTTTATAGTATCTCCAATGTTATTATTTGCTATTATTGTAATCCTCACTTTAATTCAGCCTTTAAATCTATTTTTTGTTGTCAACGACTGACTAAGGCAAAATATTTCATTAGTGATTATCAATACTCGGTCAATCCCGATATTACCTATATTCCTGAATCAAGTCGAACAGCATCCAGTGATAGTGATCGAAGTACAACTAAATTGTATGTGACTCATTCTCGTAAGGTTACCTTTGTCTAAATTATTAAAGTTCAGAACAGCCATCTAGTTCAATGCTACAGTTTCTATAATATTCATGACTACATGAATAATTTAATACAGATGCTCTTAAAAGGGGAGAAATAAATGAATTATTATTCTCTTACCACGGCAAATAGATTTAGGATACCATCGAAAATGGTGGCTGGTTGTTATAGCTCTGATTACAGAGTTCATTTTGACTAACAATACGTATAAAATTAAGTGGTATACGTAAGAAAGTCTTATTAGATAAATAGAATCTTTCTTGACGATATAATACATGAATCTTGCTGTCGATTATTTCATTCACATTGAATGCGTTATTTCTTATTCTAATTGATAGACAGCGGTTAGTTTTCTTTCATGCTGTAGATATAGCACCTGATATTAATTTATCATGGCTAAATAATAGCTCATTACAAGGATATTTCAAGAAGAAAGTTTCAAAATAAACTTTAAGATTTTATAGAATTAATCTTTGCCAGTTGTGATTTTGAAATTGGCTTGGCGATCGGCATTTGATGATGGTTGTTGGAAGAAATGCCAAAGAAAAGATATTTCTATTCAGATTTAGCTAACTCTATTTCCTAACTAGATTCATTTACTTAACGACTTCTTGCATGTCTTTAATTGATTTCAATGATTAGACTTTGTTTTTGCATATTTCTGTTTCACAAATCCCATGACATAATTAATTCGATATCGTGAAGAGAGTGGGCTTGCTTTTAAGATTACGTCAATATCTTATGGGAAAATGACATTTTTATTGTTTACAGAATTAGCTCATTGATAATTTATTACTTAATTTACCAATAGCCTAACTATTAAACCATCTGTGTCATAATAAAAAGTCCAGACTGTTATTGTAATAATAAAAGTTAGACTTTTGGTATTTTACGTTTTATTCTTGCACTTAGGCTTATAATAGTAACATGAGAGGAGTGGGGCAAGAATACTTTTACAATTCAATCTTACTCTTGATTAACGCAAAAATTAATACTGGCATCCATTTAAATTATGAAATTTGTAACTGTTTGCTGTTTTTAAACAACCAAAACTACAGTACACTATAATAATAGTGGATAAATACTTAGCGCCATGGCTAGGGATAATTGTAGGCAGTGAACTTCATTTTCAACACTGTTGGCGTTACCTTGATCAGAATATATAATGACAGGGCGAAGGTATAAGTTAGATATTGAATTATTCATGTAGTCTAACGAGCGAGTTTTCCTATGCAAATCAAAACCATGTATGTTATAAACTTATTACTCTGTCTATCCACCTATCCTGTTCTGCTACTGTGGCAAGTTGCAGTATCTAGTATTTTAAAAATGAGTTGTATTCAGCTGCTATGTTGCAGAAAGTAAGCCCAAGAGATTGAAAACTTTTATTCTATTGCTCAGCTAGCCTATCGTCTTATACTGTATTGCCGGATTGCAATTAGATACTATACATCAGCAATAATATGGCGTTAGCCATAAGCATAGCCAACATTTGGAACGAAAAATTTGATTACTTCCTTACTTGTTAGCTATTTTTTAAGATATCTATCATGAATGATTTCCAATACCTTGATGGACGTCCTGTAGAGTCGAAAAAGATAATACTGTTGAAGTAATAGCATTTTGTAGAAACTATTTCTGATTTCTGATTGATCTTTTTCAGTTAAATTGCATTGCAATATATACCCCTATCATTATGTTATATTGCAATATTTTAGTTAAAAAGTGAGAATGATGACTGCTATTGTTAACGATATTTGTAGTAGCTATATCGAAGTTCTAAGGAATCTTTTTAAGTTAATTGCAATGCTATCTATGCTAGGTAGACGATAAATAGTATTTACACAACAAATTGTAAAGGATAAGTTGAAAGCAGACTCTACCATTTACCAAATTTCTATTTTAACTTAATAATTTAACTATTGGCTCCCGCAAAATAATGAAATCTTCCAGTTCTAACAGCTGCCAATAATCAATAAATTTGTGTTCCTATCGTCATTCTTGGGGTTTTCCGGTATATAAATTTTGTAAGCATTATGAAATAAGGAGTTAATAAATTAAATATTTATTAATATTTCTCATCATTTTACTTTACAAGAAACAGATGGACGATAATTAAATTGAAATTTTTAATTTTTGGAAAGTTATAGGACTTACAAATACTTTATTCATAAACCGATTCCCATTATTATATAAAAGGTATTCTTTCCAACGTTTCTGAACTTGGCTAGCACTAGAATTAATGAAATTGGTTACTTATTAGTTAAACAGATATAATTGATACGGTACTCTTTTCAATGCTTAGATCAAAGTTAATAAATACCGTAACTGGTCATGTCTGACAGAGATTATCTATGTACAACAGTGGTCAAGCTGTAATTCTATCGGAACACTGCTACTACTTTAAATTTTATATCTAATTTAACAATCGATTTTTACTAATGTAACATTTATACTGCGTTCACTTTCGTAGAAATCTTACCGGTTTCTTAGCAAGAATCCATATGAACGATATTATTTGAGAAATCTTGATATGTAGATTGTATAAAAAAATATTGCTTTCGCAATTTTTTGGTCTATATCTGTAATAAAAGTATTGCAGCTATTCTGCCTAACTTAGTCTAATTCTCAAAAAATAATTATTTCACTTAGATAGAATTTAAAAAGGCCTTCATTACAGAGTCAAAGAATAGTAGAAAAATAATTAAATGGAACGAGAATCCAAACTAAAATAACCTGAGCTCAAAAGAAGCAAAGTCTACTCTAAGTTCATCTCTGCTGTTCTTACTATTTTTTGTTTGATCAGTATACGGCAATAGCGTTAACCACTATTCAATATATCCTCAAATAGGTTATCAATGAGTTTTAATGTTGTAAAGTAACTTAGTATTGTGATTGTAGACTATTAGCCATGTTTAGTATGATGTACGGTAGTGTCTTTTCTATATTTATCTTATGATATACTTAGTAGCCCATAATTATAGACTGTAAGGATAGACTCTACTCTATGCTAGAGTACAGATAGTCGACTATATATACAGTAAGGTATTGAGCTATTAATAAGGTTAGATGTAGAAATAGAATTATACATCATATACTAGGATTTGCTATGTTCATATGTACTCTGAGGGGTAGGAATAGTACTCGTATCTACGAAAATACTGTGATCATTTCTATATCGGATTAACGATGGTTCGCTATGAAATACTGTAACTAATAATAAGTTGAATATGTGTAATATATGGTAGAATGCTGCTATGCTGATTGTAGCTGCGAAGGCTACAAAGAGTATAAAAGCAATAGACATTAGATTATCTGATTCTTTTTTCTAGAAGTCTCACAGTATTTGTATTCAGCTAGAGTAAAGCTTGTGAGAAGCTAGTCTTTGTATTAGATCTAATAAAATTCTAATTTTCTACAACTTTGAGATTTTCGTGATCGGATTTTATCACAAATGTACAGTTCAATCTGCTCAATATATCATCACTCTTCAGTTACTATTCAACACCATAAAGGTGCGGGGAATCTTCTCAATTACAATACATCAAGTTACATACATCTATTTACCATAATTAGCTAGCTGGCTAATATTAGTAATCATTATTTTCCAATATAGTAATTAACAGTCATTCCAGCGCTGCCACCAATTGTGCCACAACTACCCTAGTGACTCAAGAAAAGCATCACTTTACTTGTAATAAACTATACCTCAATCTGCAGAATTACTTCCCTAGCCTACGGTATGTAATTGGAATCAATGCGAAGTAGACACTAAACTCTCTCTACACAATATATGGTATATAACCATCACACTACTTATTCTTAACCAAAACAACTTTTTATTGATGACAGTCCTACTTATATACTCTTTCAGTTGTTATAAACATATTTACTACGCTATCAACCTATTTCAATAAGAAACATGTTACTATGATTAAATTATCAAATACAGACTTTCGAGGTAACAAACAACTACTACGATTGTGAGCCCTGTCAAACTCCTATATTCTAGTACTTACTAATAACTTATTACTATATCTCATAATATTATAATAAGCTTAGTTTATTACTAATAACAACAATTCCTAAAATAGTACTTCTAACAATTTTAAAATATAACATTATCGTAAACCATACATCCATATCTAAGTTATTTCGATGACAGTGACGTAGTCATCTAATATTAGCGTCATAATAATATCGATTCCTAGATATCTGACTATATTAAATAGAACCATCTATACAATCTAATACAAGGTACATAACAGCAATATCATACAGCCCTGTAAAGTGGTCAAAATAGATGCATTATCAAATTTTAAATGAGAATAATAATATGATACCAGCCCAAATAATTTGTCTTTCGAAAATGATATCGGAAATGTGGTCTCAAAGCTAGCTTATGCAGAGATGATTAATATTCAAATGCTATTGCTAATAGATACAGTAGCTTTTCTGTAGCTGTTTCACTAGAGACAGCAAGGTCTACGATTGATGTTTATAGCTTCTTGCAGTAAAGATGACTAAGCAGTAATTTGATCTTGTCGATTTTTACGTTATTTTTGAATGAGTTTACAGCATCCTATGAATATTCACAGATGTCGGCCTCCTTAGTAGCAGGTCCATAATGCTGAAGTAAGATACTGGAAAATAGAAGTGAAATAGTTTTAGATAGGCGCTATCTCATCCTTGTAAATAACTGCGGTGATGTCTCGAGTAAATACATATGATTATTATTTAGCATTGAATTCACATACGTAAAATTTTGTAAACTGTAAATAGATATACTACAAATGGCATTGTATCTGACACAAGGAACTTCAGGTACTGTGATTATTATTACTTCATAATTCAGATTCTCAGAACTGTAGCTCTCGACTAATGGCTAAGAATAACATTTCCCTTTATTTACACTTAAAGTAATGATGCACAGTTTTATAATAATTTAAGCATCTACATTACAAGGTAATTATAATTATTTACTTGAACTAAACTATCGTGCAATAGTAAATGGATTTTTGTTCTCTGTTCGCAAACCGTGTCATCGCTAAAAATAGAGAAGTATCAAGTATTGATATTTGTTCGTCTGATGATTATCATTATTTTTTACTTAATTATAATTGAACTAAATTTATTTACGGTACTAGTAATGCAGACTGAGCTGGTATCCACCAGTAGAGAATGATTTATTGTTTCGATGTTACCTTACCGCTAGAAAAGCTCAATTCTACAGTAGTAGCGTATGTCTTAGTAGAGTGATAGCAACGTTAATAACCCTACACTACATAATACTTAACGCTTTAACGCAACTATTATGTATGGTAGGCTGTTTACATATTTGATATTGAATTTTATTTCGTATGGGTAGCAGCTTTTCTGTAATTTAGGATCATCTTTTGTTGTCAATATAGGCTTACCGTAACATCCAGTAAATAAAATAAGAAAGCAGCCAATATTCTATTCTGGATAAAATACAAAGGAAAAAGAGTGCTATTCTAAGATTGATCTAAGGGAGTCTCCAAAACTTAGCAAAATTCATTTTTCCGATTAGCCGACTCCGTGATCATCACATATCATTGGGTTTCGCGTTTCTGAGCCTCAATATCTAAGCCCAAACCACCAGCTGAACGTTATGAGCCTCTAGAATTGTTGGCAGAGCCATTTCAGGTTCTTTAATTTCTACTGGCTTACATTGATCTTAAATGTTGATGAAATTCGGTTCAATTTCAGTTTTAACACTGCTATTACTAATGGATTTACATGTTTGAGAGCCATTTGAAGTCCTTGATATAGATATCTTTACTGGAACTCTGAGAAATGTTACGGAAATAGAGCTACAATTTATCGATTATTTTACGATTTACGTTGAAATGCAGATATCTTTTAAATAAACCTAGCTTTACTGACCTAAATTCTATAATTTTGCTAAAACACTAGTTACTGCCTACTTGCATCCTTATGAGTTACCGGTGTAAGCGCGATTTTATGATTTTTTTATAATCCCACCGCTTACTAAAAACTACCACGTTTATCGAATTCTTTTCAATTTAATATCTGACGTAATTACGGTTATAAACCACTCGTTTTCCCTACATATTGCTAAGGAACCGCGTTTTTTACTATTTCTTCCTGACCAATGATGAAATAATACTGGTAGGACTGAAAACACGACATCGAGGATTAAAAAAGCCGCGATTTGTGTTTATGATTCTTCGGCTGCATTTTAAAGCAGTGTAATTTCCATGTTCTGTACTCAATTTTGAAGTTACAAAACTTACCTAATTTGATTCTATCTGAAATGTGTTATACTCATACTCATACATTTATCCATGCTCATCTTACTAAGGTAGCGCGTATTATGATTTCCGAGTGAAAATTTGAGTTGTGTTGTATGTTAAGCACGATGTTCCTTTCGGCATCACCACATCACAGCCGTATACGTAATAATGACAGATATATATTTAATTGCTTCACTTATATTTTATTGTTAATTTCAACGTAAATAACATAACGTAAGGAAGGATTATAACATCTGGCATATTCTAATCAAATTTACTAGTAAAACTTCCATTCTATCTTCCTGCACAGGCTTGAGGCTGTATTAAGATACTAGATGGACATTATAAGCACACGGCATCAATTACAACACACTTTTAGACATCTTGATTAATAAAATGATCAGGCGATATAAAATTAATTAGAAGATATCTAGCATACTTGAATCTGTATTTTTATATAGAGTAGCTAATATCGTAGATAAATATCAGGATTGTTTTCATCTCGAAGGAAAAATGATCGCATTCTCACTTACAGGTTTTTGGCGTATCATGTATTTTAGTTATAGTAGCAAGTAGTCTACACTTGGATTTGCTAGCATTCAGCATATAATATTAAACAGAGCGCTATTGCAAAATTGATTACAATTTAAAATAATGCATGCGTAGCTCTTTAAATTATTTTCTATTGCAATAATAAACTGAAATAACATTCTACTTGTTAACATGAACGTTTGAATGCAAAGTTAGGAAGTAAAATAGTAGTGGATACTACAGCTATCAATGTTACTTTGCAATAACCTTCATTATTGGATTAAAAAGTAATAGCAATTAAGGCTATAGTTAATATACATTCACATTTTCAAATTGTTACTATTGCCATGAACGTTACAATATCATACTATACATATATAATTTACATGCAAATATGAAACTTACTTACGAAGCTGAATTAAATGAAATAATTCTATTGGCAAGAAATGAAATGAAATTCTTTCAAGAAATAGATTTCAAACATAGATATTAGGATTATATGAATTTAAAACATTTAAATTGAATTATCGGTAGTACATCACTTAAATTGA